CCTCCAATTTGACACCGCCCAAGCCACCAGCTCCGTCTTGGCCGAGAGGTTGAGCGGGGCGTGGGCGGGGCGGCCCGACCAGGGTTCGAGCCAGCCGTAGGGCATGAAGACGTCCGAGTCGCTGCGGTAGGACATGGTGAGATTGAAGAGCCCGTCCATGGCTCGCAGTTGCCGGGAGTTCAAGGGCGGCTCCATGTTGTACCAGACCCAGCGCTGCCCGGGTGGCCTGGGGGAGGGCGGGAGCTGGGACCTGGGGTTGAACATGACGTCCCAGTGATGGACAATGACCGCGTCCGCCTGTCGGTACACCTTGCGGTTGGCCGTGATGTCGCAGTCGGCCAGGCCGGGCACCAACTCGGAGCAGGGGGACAGAGTCAGGGGGATGTGGAAGGGCCATGTCCACAGCAGGATCTGCAGGGGGCGGCGGGTGAGGGTCGCCGGGGTGGTCTGGGGAGGGAGTTCCGGGGACCGGCTGGGAGCTGCCTGGGCAGATTCCACGGCACTGGGCCCCAGTGGCAGGAAACCAGTGAGATCGCCTCGAGACACGCGCACGTAGGAGAAAAAACACACCGACAGAAGGAGCTGCAGGAGCAACACGACCAGACACGGACGCCAGGGACACAGTCGCTTGGCCGGGCCAGGTGGCTCCATGGGTCCGGGTGGCTGGAAGGAGAGGAGCAGGGCGTCAGGGTCACGGATGACGGTCACCCACTCACCCCACTTTGGGCATGATTCCCATTTCCCAGATGAGAAAACAGACCAAGCGCCTCACGGCAAAAATCAGCAGAAAGGCCGGGCGTCTGTGATCCCCGCGCTTTGGGAGGCCAAGGTGAGAGGACTGCCTGAGCCCACAGGTTTGAGAACAGCCCTGGCGACTTGTCGAGACCTCGTCTCTGCCATAAATCAAAAAATTAGCCGGGCGTGGTGGTGCGCACCTGTAGTTCCGGCTACTTGGAAGGTTGAGGCGGGAAGATCGCCTGAGCCCAGCAGGTGGAGACTGCGGTGACCGTGATGGTAGTGCCACTGCACTCCAGCTTGGGTGACAGAGTGAGACTCTAACTCGAAACCAACAGCAACAACAAAAAGCAAAACAAACAAAAAAAACCAGCAGAGCTGGAATTTGAACAAAGGCGGCCTGGCCACAGCGTCCACTTCCTCCTCTTCACAAGCCCTTTCCCAGACTCTTTCCTAGTCTGGGGAGGAGACAGAGCCGGTCATAAATACTCCCAGTGCCCCTGAGTCAAGGCTTGAATCCACGACTCTGCCATAGAAGGGTACTACGAGATTGGGTTCTGAAGGTAACGTAAGAGCTCACCAGATCGACTAGGAGGTGGGGGAAAGGGTGTTCCTGAAGACAAAATGGCCAGTGCAAAACCCTAGAGGAAAGAGACCCCTGTTTTCAGGAAAGCAAAGTGCGTGCTTAGGGACGCCAGCTTGAACTTGATTTCATATTCACTTGGGGTTTCATTCAACGTGCGCTCAAAGTCAGCCTCTCTGGTTCCTCAGACACTCCCTCTCGGTCCGGGGGAGGGCCAGAGGCTGGGAGAGAGCCAGGGACGCACAGGTGGGAGAACAAGCAAGTGTGGGGACCCAGAGGGGGCAGTGGGCGTCCCTGGGGGGATCTGGGGGCTGGAGGGAGCCAGGGGAGACCCCAAGAAAATCTTCAGAGAGGCTGAGATGGTGTAAGAGAAGAAAGAGGGAAACCTGGGTCTTTTTTCTCGGTGGACGGGAGAAGGCTCAGAGGCTGGGGTGGAGGGTTTGAAATTTTAAATGTATTTATTTAGTGAGTTACTTTGGGTCAGGTCTCTCCCTCTCTTGCCCAGGTTGGTGTCCAGTGGCACAATCACAGCTCACCGCAGTCTTGACCTCTTGGACTCAAGGGATCCTCCTGCCTCAGCCTCCCAAGTAACTGGGACCCCTGGAGCGCACTACCATGCCCACTTAATTTTTTAATTTTTTATTAGAGAGGTGGTCTCACCATGTTGCCCAGGCCGGTCTTGAACTCTTGGGCTCAAGCAGTCTTCCCACCTCGGCCCCCCAAACTGCTGGGATCACAGGTGTCAGCCACCGTGCCCAGCAAATTTTAAATTTAAATTAAAAACTGGCCGGGCTCGGTGGCTCAGCCTGTCATCCCACGCCTTTGGGAGGCTGAGGTGAGTGGATTGCCTGAGCCCGCGGGTTCGAGACCCACCCGGGCAACTTGGCGAGACCTCATCTCCACAATAAATCAAAAAATCAGCCGGGCGTGGTAGCACGCGCCTGTAGTTCCAGCTACTTGGAAGGCTGAGGCGGAAGGATCGCCGGAGCCCAGAGGTCGAGGCTGCGGTGGCCGGGAGCGCAGTCTGGGTGACAGAGTGAGACTCCAACTCAAAAGAAAAGAAAAGAAAAGAATACCAGTAAGCAGGGCACAGTGGCTCACGCCTGTAATGCCAGCACTTAATTTTTTTTAACATTATCATACATTATATGGTCAAATCGTGTGACATGTAAATTATGTCTCACTGAAGATTTGATTTGATTTGATTTTTAGAGACAGGGTCTCACTCTGTCGTTCAGGCTGGAGTGCAGTGGCTCAGTCATAGCTCTCTGCAGCCTCGAACTCCTGAGTTCAAGTGATCCTCCTGCCTTGGCCTCCCAAAATGCTGGGATTACTGGCACGAGTCACCACACCTGGCCTCAATGAAGTTGTTTGAAAATAACATGTTGGGGCAGGCACTGTGGCTCACACCTGTAATCCCAGCACTTTGGGGGATCGAGGTGAGAGGATGGCTTGAGTTCAAGTCCAGCCAGGGCAATATAGTGAGACCCTGTGTCTCCAAAAATAAAAATAAAATTAGCTAGGTGGGGTGGTGCACACCTGTAGTTCCAGCTCTTCAGGAGGCTGAGGTGGAAGGATTGCCTGAGCCAGAGGTCACAGCTGTGGTGAGCTGTGAGCCTTCCATTGCACTCCAGCCTGGACAAGAGAGTGAGACCCCCGACTCAAAAAAAGAAATGACAGGTGGGTTGCCTGCTGTCTCTGCTGGGCAGGGTTGGTCTAAACCTTGCAGTGCACAATGCATCTCTGGCCACTGACCTTGTGAGATGTCCAGCTATGTACTCATACCAGGGTTCTGAAAAGACTCAAAGACAGAGCCTCAGGGGTGAGAAGCAGGTTGAACTTTGACCAGGGACAGCTCTGTGCTGTGAGTTCTCGAGCCTTGTGTGAAAAGTTATTATTATTATTATTTTTTTATTTGGAGTCTCACTCTGTCGCCCGGACTGGAGTGCTGTGGCCGCTCTCGGCCACCACAGCCTCGACCTGCTGGACTCCGGCGATCCTTCCACCTCAGCCTTCCAAGTAGCTGGAACTACAGGCGCGCGCTACCATGCCCGGCTAATTTTTTGATTTATTGTAGAGATGAGGTCTCACCAAGTTGCCCAGGTGGGTCTCGAACCCTTGGGCTCAGGCAATCCACTCACCTCAGTCTCCCAAGGTGTGGGATTACAGGCTGAGCCACCGAGCCCGGCTGAAAAGTTAATATGTATAAATGGAATTAGTATTAATATGGCATCACATGGACCTGGCTTACAGCAGTCTCTCCTAGGAGACACAGAAGTCCTTGACAGTGACCTTGAGAGTGTAGATTGGGAGAAACAGAGGATAGAGCAGGGAGACAGGGCTGAGATCTGAGATCCCTCCTAAGCGGAACTTAAAGATATTTTTTCTTTTCTTTTCTTTTTTGAGTCGGAGTCTCACTCTGTCGCCCAGGCTGGAGGGCAGTGGCACGCTCACGGCCACCACAGCCTCGACCTGCTGGGCTCCGGCGATCCTTCTGCCTCAGCCTTTCAAGTGGTTGGAACTAGAGGCTTGGGCCACCACGCCTGTTTAATTTTTTTATTTATTGGAGAGATGAGGTCTTGCCAAGTTGCCCAGGCTGGTCTCATTCCGTGGGCTCAGCCAATCCTCTCACCTCTGCCTCCTAAAATGCTGGGATTACAGGTGTCAGTTACCACACTTGGCAGGGATTTTTTTCTACAAAAAGATTGAAACATGCCCCAAAGGTCAGGAAACAAAAGACCAAAATTTACATCAAAAGACCTCTTTCTGCCCCAGCTTAGAGGGAGGCTGAGGCAGGAGGATCCCGTCAGGCCAGGAGATGGAGACTGTAGTGTAACTCCAGCCTAGGCAGTGAAGTAACACTCCATCTCTAAAATAAATGAATAACATTAAAGCATTTTTTTTTTTAAAGCCCAGTTATTTAAGAGAAGGAAGCTTAGGCCGGGCCCGGTGGCTCAGCCTGTCATCCCAGCATTTGGGAGGCTGAGGCGAGTGGATTGCCTGAGCCTGCAGATTCAAGACCAGCCCGGGTGACTTGGCGAGACCTCGTCTCTACAATAAATCAAAAACGAGCCAGGCGTGGTAGCTCACGTCTGTAGTTCCGGCTATTTGGAAGGCTGAGGCGGAAGGATGGCTGGAGCCCAGCAGGTCGAGGCTGTGGTGGCCGGGACT